ACACCCTGAGTCCTCCTTTTCATCCTCTGAAGGCTAAAGATGACTGTGGTATAACAAGATCCAAGAATGCCTTCTCCACTAGGTAATATCTGAGCAGAAGTTGATCCTACAGATGCACATTCTAAAGCCAGAGTCATTTGGGTTTCAAAACCTGACTACAACTTTTTTTGGAAAGCACTTGACACATTCTGTCTTTGCCATCATGTAAAAGTACTACTATTTCCTTATAGACATTGTCTACACAACACTGTCATAGAAATAAAGTTTTCTATAAAGACTAGAAGTTAGTGGTTCTGATATGCTTAAGGGTGAATTTTCCATAAAAAGTCTTGCTCCAGCACTAACTGCAAAATTAGCAAGAAGCTTACAAGTAATTAGATTGGGGTGTTCAATCATGAATGTTCCTTAAATAAAACTCCTAATTAGGACACACTGCATATTTATCTACAATCTAGATCTGACAAACAGCAAAAACTTTCCTTTTCTAGCTGATATCCAGGACACTGCCAGGGAAATACCAGGCATTCACAGTACTCCCTTCAGGAAGGCTCATTTGACTTGCACAACTACAGGCAAGGATGCCCATGTTCCTCAACTTTGATACCAAAGCAGACTGGCTTAGTAGAGAGAGTCATGGCTGTAAATCCAGACACCTACCACCAGAAAGATATCCATCTCTCTCTTCTGATGACACAGGAAGTCTGGGCACCTGCTCAGATTAAGCTTCTTTGATGGAATTTAGCTGCTGATAGCATAAAAATGTAAATCTAATCAACACAATCCCTCCTTCTACAAGGTATTTCTCAGACTCTAAGATAAATGCAGTTGGATTGATGCTTTTGTTTTATTACATCTAATAAAACACCACCTGACACAAACACATCTCAACTGAGAATTGATCCACAATAAACTACAGCAACAGTTACAAGTTTTTTACAGCCCCTTTACACCAAAGCTACTTAAATGCTTCAAAACAAACCCCACAACTATGCTGACATCCCACACATCTTGCAGGCAGTCTTTCCAAACATTTTGTACCTTGTTCTAATTTCAAAACAAAATAATCCATTTTCTCAGAAAAGTAGATGCACAGATTTTTAGGTATCAGAACATTTATTTTTAAAGGTTTATACCAGTTTATTTCAAGTCCACTGAATATCATTTCACATGAACACAGAATTTCTATTTGCAAGAAACAGTTCACCCCCAGTTTGACACTGACCATCATAAAAACTAATATGTTTTCTGAACTACAAGCAGTATCTTTCAGTTACCTGGATTTTACTGTTTGTAAGTGGTGTAGCTGCAGAACTTTTTCTCTCAGCAACTCAGTTGAGAGGGACTTTAAGCCTAGAAGCACCACAAAAAATTAGCATGCCTACCATAGTGCCTGTGAGGCTTTATTGTTGAGACTGTTTAATCAATTTTTACTCCAACTTTAAGTGTCCCTTTTTATGTAACACCGCAGTAACTAGGCCATTTAAAAAGATACATATTTGCTATATCCCTTAGAAAAAAAAAAAAACTCAGTCATCTCTTCCTACAGCACAAGGCAGAAAACTAATTTTTTTTACTATTTTTCTGCTATTTCAACTTACAATAAACTCAATTGTTTTTCAGTGGATACATTCAACCCTTTGTATTAAGATATTCATTCAGACTAAGTGATGTTCTGACTGAAAGCAGGTTGGGTGTTTTTTCAGAAATAAAAAGTTTTGCTGAAACAAAAGCCTTTCTGCAAATGGTGTTGCAAATCTAATAGGTAATTTGGGGGGGAAATGTAGTGATCACAGATTTCAGCTACATTACTCAGTAGCTGAGTCTTTACATTGTCACCATCAAGACGTGAAGGCAGGTCCAACACTTCAGGTTACACACCTTGATTTTATGATCCCAAATATTTTAGGGAAGAGAAAAATCTTCCCCTGACCAAACTGATATACTGTTTGCATTAATACTTCCAGGAACTAGAGACTAATATTTTAAAGTGAACATTTAGAATGAACAATTATGCATTATCCAACCCTTCTCTTCTGCATGTGTAATAAGACATGCCAGGAATATACACACTTATAGCCATGAATCAGAACACAATTTATTAATAATTGCTCCACAAAAAGGCTGTGTGAATAGTTCTATATATACACAAATATTAATGTTTATTTGATTGTTGTGAAATGTCTCAAAAAAGCTAAATGAATTAACAGCTATGCTTGGCACCACATGAAACACACACCTTAAGGAAGATTAACAAATCTCAGTGCAAAGGTTAGAGTTAGATGCCTGCCAGGATGGTTTTTTTCATCTTATTGAGCCAAAGAAATATTTGTCATCTTTTTCAGAAAGATGCAAAAAAATTGTAATTCACATGAAACTGGCAGAGTTTTAAACCAGCAGGTCTGTACCAAAAAATGGCAAGTATCTCCATTAGCTGCTGTTGTTGCCAACATGTGGCAACACAATATAGCCAGGTACCATCAGCTGCACCCCCAGCTATTCCTAATTTTGTGCAGGATTATAACACTTTTCCACATTCACTAGCTACAATTATTTTAATAACAGTCAGTAGCAGAAAGAAGGTGAGGTGGAAGAAACACAAAGAACGTGCAAGTGAGGTTTGCTAGACTATGATCAGAAAGACATTAACAAGTCAACACAGAGCATTGAGATGTTACTAACAGACTGCACAAAATAGACTAGGCTGCTTTTTTGAGGTTGAGTTTTTTCACTGTTGGTATTGTTTAGTTTTGTTATGTTTTGTTGGGGTCAAGTCAGATGAGAGATGAGAAACTCGCTATTTTGTCATTTTTTATAGAAATGGACAAAGAAATCATGTTCATGAAAATCTGAATAAAAGCAGTATTCAAATTGGAAGAATATTTTTTCTGTTGCAATCTCTCACAATTGAACAAAACCCATTTTCTGTGTAGATGTATATTGCAACTCCATACTTAAAGAAATCAGCCTGAAGTAACTTGATGGTTAGGAAAATAGGGCAAAACAGAAGAGGCTGATGTTCAAATCTGTAATTAATCTCATTGAAGTGTCCAATTTATAATGGCCACTTACCTTACGTTTACTTTGTCAGAGCTCCCATGTCTAAGGTAAGAAACCATTCCCTTCCAAAAGAGTAAAAATGTGGTTGAAGCTGCTGTTCTGTCATTTCATGACAAAAATATTTTAAGGCAGCTTTAATCTAGATGTCCACTTTCCTTGATATGACACCTTGCATCAGCATGGTATTTCATAGATACCTTCAAGCAGGGATCTGAATTTAGCACTAAGAACTTGTTTTACAGGGGTGAATGCCAAATGCTTTTCATCTCATTATGCTGGTTTGAAATAATAGTACTACTTAAAAGCAACATAATGACAACATAAAATGCAAGAGCTCTTTCAAAGCAGTGCAATAAACCATCATGGTCAGTTGCCTCAACCAGCACTACAAATTCCAAGCAAATCAAGCTCCATTTAATTCCTACTGTACAATTACAGAATATATGATACCCTGTGTAGACATATTCAAATAACTCTGTACACTTCCAGCTGAAATTAGATCTCCCACTTCAAAATATTTTGATGTTTATTCTTGTTACACATTAAATACAGGTTCTGCATACTATACATCAAACATTATTGCTAATGCTTAGAAGATTATTCCATAATCAGGCAATATTCAATTCACAATGAAAATGTATTATAATAGAGACAAAATATATAAAGCCAGTTGCTGTCTGGAAACTGAGCTCTGGCTAACCTATGTAATATTAGACAATTGGCTTCCTCTGTTCCTTCCTCTTACAAATTGCTTGCTGTACCTGTGTCATCTTTTCAGGCCAAGGACTGGCTTTCTCTTTGTGTAATGTGATTTACAGCTGGGATTTCTGAATGCTGCTACAACACAAAATTACTGCAACGGTTCAGAGCTCTGCTCTACCAATCACCCTAATCCCAGTCTTTATTGGTACTTTTAATGGCACCCCTGCTGTTAGAGAACAATAGCCCACTCAAGAGAACTTGTCCCATCGCTTTGAATCTACTGTAAACACACACATATATACATGCACTACTTACATAACACGCTTTTTTATTCCCTTTTTTTTAACCCTCAGGCAAATCTCAGATGCTGGCAATGGAATCTATAATGTTTTTACACTCAAAATCATTCCCAAAGCAAAACACCACCTAAAAGGGCTACCACTTCAGCACTGCTCCCTCATTTGTGGTGTAAAGTACTGATATAAGTGATAACAGGACTGTAAATGGAATACATAGGAGAATAGAAAGCTCAACAGGAGAATAGTCTCTTATAAAATTGTGGGAACAGGAGTCGAGAGAAAACAGGATCTACCTGAGATTCTGCCCAGGAACAACCCACAGCAGGAGACAAAAGTTCCTAAACTCACTGTGTAAACACCTAAATTGCATCATACCTCTCCTCCTGAAACATACGGGATTATCCTGACGCACTAGTCGCTATCTTGCCAGAGGGAAGGAAAAGTCATTTTTCCCCAGAGCGATCCTCCAGATCAGGATCTCACTGCCAGCAACCACAGCCCTGGGGTAAAGCCAGGGCTGCCGCTATCCAGCCTGGTACCGGCAACTTTCCAATGGCGAAACCCGGGAGCAGGAGGAGATGCAGCCCGGCACGGCGGCGCTGGGCACAGGGGGTGAGGAGCCACCTGAGGCGAAATGGTGCTGGAAACCAGCCTGGCGCTAACATGATCTGAAGTCCTTCTGTCACCCATTCGGGAGGCACACTCCCACAGAAGATTGGGATTTAACCGACTGACACTAGCGATGAAAGAAAATGTTTATCAGAAAATCGCCATCCAGCTGCCTGTCAGCACAGATTTCCACCAGCGGGGTGGCAGGATCGCGACAGCCTCACCGCCCCAGCCGGGGGCTCGGGAAAGGCAGCGGCGTGCCCACAAAGGGGCTGGTTTAAAGGAAAGTGCCCATCTGACGGAGCCTGGGCTAGTTTTCTGCCCCAGCACACAATGAGGGCGGGCCGAGCCCCGCACCGCACTGACCCCCGAGCTGCCCTGGCTCGCTGCCCCCGGCAGCGCGGGCGGGTCCCGCCGCCCCTGGCGGAGCCCACCGGGGCTGGGCCAGCCGGCCACGGGCAGGGCGGACACACGGACAAAAAGGAACACAGAACAGATGAAAAAGCGCACACACCACCACCCTCCTCGCTCCCCCAGTACTCACAAGCGAACACCAACCAAATCCGTCCGCAAAAGGCGCCTCCTCATCAGCCCGCTCCCGGCGCGGGAGACCTGCGGGGCATTCCCCCGCTGCGGGGCGCGCCTGCCGGGGCCCCGCCGCCCTCCTCCTCCCTGCCCAGGGCGGCACTCACCTCGGGGGAACGAGGCCAGGCTGAGGGGCCGCCTCTCTGCCGGTGCCGGGCAGCGGCGGCGCGGCGGGGCGAGGCACACTTCCACTTTCTCTGGGGGTCTTTCTTTGCCGTGCCGTGCCGAGCCGTGCGGAGCCGCGCCGCCTCTGCCTCCCCCGGCACTCCTCCCCGCCCGCCCCTCGCCGCCGCCTCCCCGCGAAGCGAAGGAAGGAAGGGATGCGAAGCGGTGCCCAGCTGCCGGGCCGGCCGGGGGCGGCTCTCCCGGCACCGCCCCGCCTCGCTACCTGCCGGGGCGGCCCGGGGGCCACGGGGCGGTTCAGAGCAGACACCCCGCAGCCCAGCAGCCACCCCGCCGAACCCCTCTTGCATCCCTCTGCCTCCCTTTGCAGTACTCACCTGCCATGCTCGGGGCTCACTGGTCCCCGCCGCAAAGGGCTGCTGCTTTTTCGGGGCTTGACATGCTTTGTCCGCCCCTCTCCTTCGGTAAACTGCTCGAAGGAAAAGGTCCGGGATGGCTGTGTGTGTAGGAGCAGTCTACATGTACTTCAACACAACAAAGACCCACTTGATTCCCTACTGGCACCTAATGCCCAACAAAAGAGAATCGCTGGGAATGTCATAATTATCATCCTGTGAGATGGATGCAAAATCAACACTTCTTACGAGGTTGTACTCACAAAACAAATGGCAGCTTGGATTCATCTGTTTCTGTCCCGGTACTATAAGCAGCTTGTTCACGCCCTGCTGCTTTAGAACTGTGTTTCCTGGCACTGTAGGTAGGAATCTTGCAAACTCATAAAGGCAGGGAAGTTACAAGTCGCAGTGACGGTCTTTTGCCACCTTATAGAATAAGGAGACTGGCTGTTAAGATCACTTGCCCACAGATGAGAACCCTGCCTAACTTCTAGCTAAAGTGCACATCAGAGCATTGTTTTTCAGTGGAGGCTTAACAGGAAGCATCCTAGCGAAGTCCTCACTAGACACTGCCCTACACAACACACACTATGTAGTCTTCCACTACATCCTCTCAATAGGAGCCATCATTGCTATGCTAGCAGGATTCACCCACTGATTTCCTCTCTTTGCAGGGTATAGCCTGCACCCCACATGGGCCAAAACTCACTTCAGGGTTGTATTTACAGAAGAAAGCACTACCTGCTCCCACAACCCTTTCTAGACCTAGCGGGCATGCCAATGATACACAGAATATCCAGATACCTACACACTATGAAATGCTATAGAATATAAGTAATATTAGTTTACCATTCACTTGGTCTTGAATGGTCCCTGCTCATCTGAAGGCACCTGCACTGCTGATTCAAGTTCAGTTGTATGGGGTATAAGCAGCTGTCACTCATGTAAAGCTCAGTTGTAATCCACATGTAACTGGTCCACATCTGAACCACACTCAAGGTTTTCCAGAGAAGCTCAAGCTATGAATCATGGATCTGATCACAGAATCCTTCATATGACATTATAGGGACCTGGTATGCGACTGAACAGCCAGTGTCCGTGCAGCCAGATTAGATACAGGCAGCAGGGGGTGTGGAGTGCAGTGCTGGGGGCAGAACACACACTTCCCCACCTCTGGAAGCTGAACCAGCACATAAGACTGAAAGAAAGGAGAGCCTAGTCTTTAACTTTGTGATTGTGTAATCAACTAGGAAATATCCTCCCAGAATAGATTTTTTCCTGGTATTGCACAATATAGGTGAATTTAGACCTTCATTCAGACTTATTCAAGGTTAAATCCTTGAATGCTGTCTTCTAGTTCCTTGACTTTGAATTCTGGCTGCCCTCTGTCTGAAGCACTTTCTTCAAAAGTGGACTGAAACCCTCTGGAGCTAAGGAAAAGCCTTCAATGGCTCTTTGTTTATTACCAAGCCCTCTAATCAACAGTTATGCAAAAGGAAGGCAATTTCTTCCTTGTGCTCCATAAGCAACTTTCATGTATAAGATCTGCCATTTCCTGTTGATTTTAACTCAGTACAGAAAGACCGATGTCTCAGGTAGAAATGATCTCCTAGATTTGTGATGCCTATTTTTTTCCTTTGACTTTTTCTGTAATGCAGATTTATTCTAGAGCCACCTTCTCTGTTTGAGGGACTAGGGACTAAAGATCTAAAATGGAAATGAAACAATGGTTGTGTAAAGTACCTCCGCAAAGTACTTTAAAGCCAGTATTTCACGTCAAAGTGAAATTGTTGCCTGTAGTACTGAGGTAAGCCCCATTATTGCAAACACCGACATCCAAAAGTTTATTTACAAGGCCAATTGTGTTTCAATTCATTGAGGTGTGTCATGTGAGACAAAACATAGAGGAAATCCCTGCAAGCTGAAAGACTTTCTCAAAAAAAAGCTGAAGAAGTGACAAAATAATCACAACTATCTATCTAAACTATCTATCTAAACTAAAACTATCTATCACAACTATCTATCTAAAAATGAACAACCAATTCATTTTTTGTTCTTGGAAGAAGAGAAAGGAGAGCACTGGTGTGAAAAAAAAATGTTTATATCTTAGTGTTTCCTGGTGCCTACTTCACTTAAAAGAAAGAAATGTTTAGATGCCACAGAAGGAGACTCCATCGCTAAATTAGTTTGCTATTTCCCCTGAAGGTGTACATTTACAATGAAGCTAAGCTGGTTTGGGAGCTATTTGTTGTCCTAAAGGTGGCAGTCCTGCTCCTAATGCTTCCTCTGTTGGAGCAAAATTTGAAGAAAGCTAAACATTTCTTCATAGCTAGTTTAGATGATTAAAGATGTTCTCTGAGAGTCACTGCTGGGTAGATGAGAAGGACGCAGAGAGCAAGCAGCTGTAGTGCCAGCAAAAGGAGATGGGAATTGCCCTGGGACTGCAGCAGGCAGCCCCCAGTTTGACTGAGCTGTCTTGTGAAATTCGCCTTCATAGGAAGAGCTCAGAAAAGACTGTACATTAAATCTGTTCTTCCTATGCTATTATTTTACATAATTCTGCCTCAATGAGCTGCTAAAGAGAAAGAAAGATTCTGTTCCTTTGTGGTTAGGGCACACTGTCAGGCTGAGGGAAGACCTCACTTCTGGTGCTTCCTTGAAGGATTCTAGATTCTCGTATAAGGCATCAAACCAAGGTCTCCCTATTTCCCCAGTGTCCTCAGTCATTCCTCCTGCATCAAATAATCCAGCTCCAAATTCCAGTGCCACACAGAAATGCATGCCCAGCTCTCCACTTGTTGGCACTGATAGCATCAGCATCACAACACAATCCCAGCAGCAGTGTTGCTCTGCTGGATTCCTGTACCCAAGCTACCACTGCTAGCTCTGCAGGACACAGAATTCTGCTGGGTAAATGTACTGTTTTCCAGCAGGCAAACCACAGGAAAATATAATTCTAACAGTTAATAAAATATTGGATTATTCCACTAAGCTGGCAAAATTTCATTAAAATACCAATATTGATTCTATTTCCAAAGCTGATTCTTCTATTAAAAGACCTCAAAGGTCAGTTTATCATCTGATGCATATAAAGTTTCCACTTTTTTAGATTTCATTAGTTTTCTGACATAGAAACATGCACAATTCTTTTTTTTTGTAAAGCCACAAACTTGAAGGAAGGCAACAAAAATTTCCCCACATAGAAATTTGAAGTTAGTGATGTTCACTGTAAAAATAATTTGGCAGATTAAAAAGAAAAAAACAAAATCTGGATCAAATCTTTGTAATGGTGAGCTAACCACCCACTGATGTTAACTGCATCAATTCAACCTTCAATATGAGCAGAAAGTTACTTAAGTATAATTTCCAATCTTTGTGTATTCTACAAAGAATGATATTGCAGTTCATTCATTCCTTCTTGTATTGATAGTTATGAATCTAAGCTGCTGTCACATTTGACACTAACCTTCAAACAAATCATCACTCCTTGCTTCTCCCCCAGAGCACTGTCATTATATATCATCAAGGGATGAAATTCTGAATCAGAAGGAATTTGAAGCAGTTTGAAATAATCAGTTCATTTGTGTAAGCTACTGTTGGTGGGAAATTCTAGTGTGTCCACACAGTATTTTTGCAAGTAAAAGACTAGAGAGACTCCATAAGAAAACATGGTCATTCCCACAGCATAAGCTTCGCCAAAATGCCAAGCATGCCATTGGAATAGCACGAAGAAGAGCAGCATTCCTTCTGCAGCTCAGAAATTCTTGTTTCATAGGAAATGGAACTGACCCTCTGTGGTTATGCTAAGCTGCCTTCTTATGTTCAAGTGGATTGTCTTTCAATGTCCACGGGTTTTTTTAAGTAAATAATATTTCCATGCTAATTCTTCACTTTCCTCAGGATACGTTCAACTTGTGAATGTCTCACCCCTGCAAGTATTCAAGGCCACACTGGGTGGAGCTCTGAGCAACCTGCTCTAATGGAAGGTATCCTTAATGGATTTCGTGGCAGGAGGCTTGGAACTGGAAGATCTTTAAGGACCCTTCCAACACAAGCCATTCTATGATTCTATGATTTTTTTAGACTTAATGATTTTCACCAGAAATATAATTTCAACTATGTACCTTGGAGAGAACAGAGGCAGGACACTGTCTCTGCTTGTCCCATGCAGGTACAACACATGGTCTGTAGCTGTGTTAGTTGCATTTTAGTGGAGTAGTCAGTTGTAGAACAAAAACATCTCTGGTTTGACAGCTAAAAGCTTAGGTAGGAGGTGTGAATCATTGCCTGGAAGCTGGGAGACACTTGTTCATGCAAATTGCATGAGGTGAAGTGAGGACAGTAAAAGGTTTCTAGGCAGCCAGAACCAAAGTGGTCTCACAAAGGAAAAGTGAGTAAGAAGATTTGAGTGAGGGAAAGAGAAAAGGTATATTTTTAATCAAGTCAAACATACCTAATTTTCTAACTTTGAATGCATTTCAGTTTTGCTGCATGAACACAAATGGACAAAGGTTATGTCAAAGAAAACAAATGGACAGATAAGTAAATTATCTACTATAGCTACAGACATGGCAGGTGATGCAAAAATTTGAAGTGAAGAAAGTGACCTAGAATACACACATCAAAGGATAAATCTATTGCTTGTTGCAGAACATCCACACTAAAAACCATTATTTTTAAAGAAGAGGTCATGCAGTGTAACAGAAACATCAGGAAAAGTGAAAAGGGAACAGAAAAAGGAACAAGGGAAATGAGGAGTCAACCTTTCAGAACCGAGATCTTTATTTTTACATAACCAATACACAGAGGCCAGACTTGCTTCTATTGAATTCTTTGCTGCAGTCTTCTACCAAGGTTAATGAAACATTATGAAAGTTAGTCAAGGAGAAAAATTTTGTACCCATTGAAGTGTGTATGAATTTCACAGTATTTTTGTGTCTGTCATTTCAAATTATACTCATCTGGGTTTGTTTTTTCAGATAAGACAATAGCCTGATCAGATTGTTTTCTGGCTCCAGCTCTGCTATCTAAATTCATCAATAA